TCCGTCGCTTTTGGGCTTTGTTGGGTTTTCTTTGCCGCCGCGCCCACGGCCTCAGCTCACTGTGCGCGCGCGTCGTACTGCTCCTGCACTTCTGCTTTGCTTTCCACAGGAGAGGAGAGGGGAATGGAATAGAAAGCTCTCTCCCGCGCGCGGTCCTGCTCCTGCCGCAGGGTGGTGGTGGTGGCCGCCGTGCCGCTGCCTCGCCCCGGCGCCTTTTGCTCAACGCTGCCTTTTCTTTTTTGTTTGGCAAACGGTATATACCTACGTATTTATGGTGCAGTATGGGTCTATACCAACGTCTTTACAGCGTAGCGTAGCCTCGAGGAGGAGTAAATAATAGCCCATGCCGAAGTATTGAAAGCCTTCCTAAATGATAGTATGCGTGCCATTGATTTTGGATGATCGGCTCATACCTGCCTACTGGATTACTCCTCCTGTTATGGCGTCTTTTAAATAGGTAATCTCTCCTTTCCGGTTTATAAGGCTCAATTCAAAATTCTCACCAACCAAGGTAGATGGTGAGTGGTGGAATACTTTTTATAGTTTGCAAAAGCACCCAATTAATGCTTTTGTTTTCCTCAAAAAAATATGTTTACCAATGCATTAATTGCAATGCATGCATGCATGCATAAATTACATGCATTGATCAATTTTCTCTTAGTACTTGCATGCAATGATTTAATGCACCTTGAAATCTGAACATGTGATGGAAAGCAACCAAATTGAGCCTTATGAAATGGAAAAACTAAAATTTTGAGATAAGCCCTATAAACCGAAAAGGAGGGAGTATAAAAGCCATCAATGGGCTAGAAAAGGCTGGTATATACACATTGCAGACAAGCAAGTAATTGCATCCATGTCTAAAATGCAAGGGTACATGGGAGGAAAAAAAATATACATGTGATAAGGAAATAAATACTTAACACGTTTGGCACGGTAAATATGATATCCTCACATTTTACGACAGTCACCGTGCTACCTAAGTATAATAGTGAAATTAATTGTAATTTTCGAATCAAGTAGATATACACCTACCTTTTTGACGTGCTCAAATTTACCCCAAAAATGCATTTTAGGTCATGAGAATGCCCTTTCTGTTGGTCAAACTTGTTTGACCGAAACTTTAAAAATTCATTTGAACTCAGAAGAATGCAAATAAGATATCAAAATGTTAATAAAAATATCATCTACACGCGCATGTAATTTACATTCATCGCCTACACGTGCATTTATTCACGTTCACCCTAAATAGTTTTTATCGATATAAACCCTGAAAAGCTTTAAAGACTATTTTTGTCATGAACATAAATGACATGTGCATATAGGTGATGTTTTTATGAATATTTTGATATCTTATTTTGCGTTCTTCTGAGTTCATATGAATTTGTTATGAATTTTCAAAGTTTGGGTCAAACAACTTTGACCGGAAGCTGTTCGCCCCCCAGGGGTTTGTAATAGCGC